AATTTGTACATCAATCTATTTTATGTTTGAATATAGAATTGACCTGACAAACACTGGAAGCCCAAATTTAAGCTCTTTGAGGATATAAAGTATTTTGTCCTACTTTAATAAGTTCATAATAGATGATATTTGTTTAGTAGATTTTGTAGATATTTAAAAAACTTAATAATAAAAAAAGAGATCTTAGATAGTTCCATTTTAGTACTTGCCATACCAGTACTGATATTCAGGATTTTAAATACCATGGTAAGTTTCATTAATATAAAAAGTCAAAGATGGAGTGGAGAACACTGAAGTCAACAGAAAAGGTCTAGAAGTCACTAGGTGACTCTCACTCCAGAGGGTTTTGTGAGAAAATGAAAAGTTAAATTCCATGTAATATGCATACATTGTTGTTGAGTTGATTCTGATTCATAATAATTCCATGTGTGTACAGTAGAACTATGTTCCATGGAATTTCCAACAGGTACTTTTTTGGAAGCAGATTGTCAAATTGTCTTCTGGACAAGTCTGCACGTTTAGAGACATCTCTAGCTAGGCTGGAGCAGCAAACTTTGTGGCCAATTCATGTGCACCATCCAGAGTCTCCTACGTTGTTTAAAAAGCAGGATTTCTTTAGTCCAATACCAACTCAAAACTCCAAGACTAATATTTCCCTTACTGAACAAAGAGTGTACTCCTGAGAACTTTTTGTAGAGATTTCTTGATATCTCTGTTTCTTAGACTGTAGATGAAAGGATTCAGCATAGGTGTAACCACTGTGTACATCACTGAGGTGACCATGCTTCTCCAGGAAGAGGGTGATATTCCAGAACTGAGACAGACACAGAAACCTGTCCCATAGAATAAAGAAACTACAAACAGATGAGATCCACAGGTAGAAAATGCTTTATACTTCCCATCAGTCGATGGGATTTTCAATATGGAGGAGATAATTCGAGTGTAGGAAAAGATGACTCCAGAGAAGGGAACTATGCCCAGAAGACCAGTCACCATATACAGCAAGATGTAGTTGATAAATATGTCAGAACAAGTGATGGTGAGGATTTCAGCAAGCTCACAGTAAAAGTGTTTAATTGTCAAGTGTTCACAGAAGGAGAGCGGCAGTACCAACAAGCTTTGCATCAGGGAGTACATGATGCTAATGAACCAGGACACAAGAACCAATGAACCACAGAGACGAAGGTTCATGATGACTGAGTAGTGCAGGGGATGACAGATGGCTATGAACCGGTCATAGGCCATCAAAGTCAGGAGAAATGTGTCCATGCCTCCAAAAACCATAAAAAAATACATCTGGGTGATGCAGCCTGAAGAGGAGATAGACTTGCTCTGAGTGTGAAGATTCGTCAGCATCTTTGGGACGGTGGTGGAGGTAAAACAGATGTCAGTCAAGGACAAGTTGGAGAGGAAGAAGTACATGGGAGTGTGTAGATGAGAGTCAGAAATGATGATCAGAATTATGAGCAAGTTTCCAAAAACAGTGACCACAAACATGGACAAGAACAGTGCAAATAAGATTGGGTTATGCTCTGGGCCCTGAGACAATCCCAAGAGGAGAAATTCTGAAATACTTGTTTGATTTTCTGGTTTCATATGGCTGATAAGTCAACTAGTAAATTGAGGAGGGAAAGAATATGAAATAGATACTAGTCAGACTCTAGATTCTCCCCATTTGTGCGTTTCTAGTTAAAAATTGAGCAAAAAGCTTTAAACATTATACAATTTAGAACTCCCACATTCTTTCATTGGGTGTATGCAGCATTTGACAAAGTAGATCAAACTCACTCCCTTGACTTCTGCAACACTCACCTACTTGCTTAGACTCTGTTTTAGAAACATTTATAAATTTGAGGGTAGTTTTGTGCCTTTGAGATAATACGATCCACATACACTTTAAGGCATATGTGGAATGTGAGGCTGCTTGAACCTTAGACACTTTACCTAGGTGATTTGCTTTACCTGGTAACAGGACTGGAGGCCTGGAGTCAGATAACTATGTCTGATTGGTGAGAGCTCTAGTCGCCTAAAGAGTAAAGAATTGCACTGCCAACCAAGACAGGCAATTCAAATGCTCCAACTGCTCTGTGGGGGAAATACGTGCAAATTCCTCCTTTTTTTTTTTTTTTTTAAACAGCCCTTGAAAATGTAGTGCTGAGTCAGTTATGAGTCTATTTTTTCTCCACAGCAGTGAGATAACAAAGATAATATCTAGACAAAACATTGCAAGATAAGTGTAGTTTAGATATTTTCTCTGTCAGGAGAGAGAGAGAGAGAAAGAGAGAGAGAGGGAGAGAGGAGAGAAGAAATGAGGGAGAGGAAATGATAAAAAGAGTAGCTGTGACAAAGTTCAACAGGACAACAAGAAATAATGTTGGAGAGGTTGGAGAGGTTGTGGAGAGATAGGCACTTTTCTACACTGTTTTGGGGGTTGTAAAATGGTACAACCACTATGGAAGCCAGTTTGATGTTTCCTCAAAAAGCTGAACATAGAAATTCCATAACGACTCAGCTATTACACTGCTAGGAATATACTCCAATGAAATTAGAACTGAGACCCAAGTGAATATTTCTATACCAATGTCCATAGTGGTTATTTATAATCACAAGAACATGGAAACAGCCCAAATGTCCAACTACAATTGAATGGATTGAGAAATTGTGGTACATTCACATGATGGAATACTACACAGCACTCAGAAGCAATGATTTTTTTTTTAATTACTATATAACTTGAGATAGACTGGAAGGCATTATGCCGAGTGAACTCAGTCTCATAAGAATAAATACACGCAAGCTCTGGTGGTCTAGTGGCAAGAAGCTGCACTGCAATCCCAGAGGTGCATGGTTCGAATCCACCAGATGCTCTGCTAAAGAAAGAGGGACAATTTCCTCCTGTACCAATCAGATCTGATTTGATGGTACACACATAAATAAATAACAAAAATTTTTTAAAAAAGAATAAATACAGTATAGGACCATTATTGTAAAAACAGAAGGATATCTAGTAAATTGTGTATGAAGTTAAAAGGGGAAGAGGTGGAAATAGAAGGGTGAGGATGGGCAGGGAGTAAGTCATAGGATTGCACAATTTTGCAGGTGAAGGAAATGAGAAAAGTCCATTGGGAATCTGAAAAGATAGAGTAATGGTGGGCATAGTTCAAGTGTGGTTGCTTTTATAAAACATAATGAATGTGAATGATTGTATGAAATGCAATGTGAATGAAGGTTAATGTGAATTATAACATGTATGAACTTTGTATGCAAACCAAT